AAGTTGTTCTCATCCAAAGTGGACTGCAGTTGATAAGACCGATGCGAGGTCGAAACTGCAGTCCACTCCAGCCGGGACGAGAACAACTTTTGTGAAAGCAAGGCTATGTGAAATTCAATGGAAACGTCAGCTCTACTCATATCATTGTGGGAAAATTCTTCTTCTACTAGTCTTTCATCACCTTAAACGAAATAGGGTGAATACATCTCATTACACTGATTTGCTGGCAGTCTCGAAACTATACTCCAATACGAAAAGAAGTAATGGTAGTTGAGTTTTTCCACCTCAAAAGAACAAGGATGAACCCAGATCTACTGATAGTCTATAAAAACGAAAAACAAGTAGTACAGTTGATTGCTATAGCAAATGAAAGTTTGCTGTCGACAATTCCAATACAGAATAGGCTGTGTGAAAAGTCCCGGCCTTCCCTCAAGTCCACACCGGCCCTGTGACACACGGACGCTAGTGGCAGTGTGGCGTAGTGGGAAACGTGTCGACCGAATGCACTGCACGATCACAGGCCGGCTTAGAGTCCAGTTTGGGGTGCGGATGAGACCGATGCAGGCGAGGTCGAAACTGCAGTCCACTCCGGCCTGGACGAGGAGACGATGTGAGATTGAGCGGAAGAAATGCAAGGCCTACTCAAATAATTGTGTGAAAGTGTATCAGTTTAGACGAAGTAGGGTGAATACCGCTCCCATTTCGGCACACTTTGTCTGTCCCGCTCATTATCATGCGACCTGGAAACTTGAGACCGAACGCGTTTTTCCTCTCATCTTTAGCCCCTACTCTCTCTCTCTCTCTCTCTCTATTACACACATGGACAAGTATGTACACACCTCAGTCTCAATTCGCTGGTTGTCGACCAACCAAATCCTCACCAGTCGGACCTGAGCCTGCGATTGGATCCACCAACTGTCGAGTCAACTGAAGGAGACCAATCAGACGGCGACAATCGCCTTCTTGCTCGATCGATCTCTCTACAGGCCCGTCTGGCTCGGTGAGGAGGTGTTTTCCAGCCGGCGCGCGTCTCGTGCCCCTCCTGCGCTCCGTCTCTCCACGCCTGCCTCAACCGGGTCGCCTGTGCCGTGCCGCATCTCGAGGCTCCAGCACCCCGAAAGCCGTCGAAATGCGCCCTTCCAAGGTTGGAACCCGAACAAAGTCGTATCAAACGTCGTAAGTTAGTAGGGTTTCGAGACTACCAGTAAATCAGTGTAATGAGATGTATTCACCCTATTTCGTGT